CAAAGAAACCTAAGTATTCAATCTGATCATCATCTACTGAAACGAAAAATCTGCAACCTCGTACCACACTCTGTTCATGGACAAATGCAAGTCTGAGGAATATATTAAATCATTATGTTCAACTCAGTTTGAGCTGAAAGACGGTATGGCCATATCCTAATGAATTAAGCGCAGAAACAATAATCAGACACGTGGCAAGCAATCGAACTCATAGCACAATAAAGGAGGACATGGGTAACTGAATGAGAAGAGTATGAACAAGCACAAGCTATGTGAAAAGGGAAAGAAAGAAACGATACCATAAGGACTCAGACAGGAGATCAATCGATAACCAGTAAGTTAACGATAGTAGGAGTAATAGGGAAAAATCGATGGAAACGGAAGAAGTAAGGGTGAGCTCAGACTACAACAACCAACTACAAGGAAGCTTTTTGGAGTTATCAATAAACACAAACACAAAAAGGAAGTAATTTTCAGGATCTAGATAATCCGATGACTGGCACAGCAGTTCAGGACAGACTGTAATGAAATTAAAAAGAAATAAAAATGAAATAAAAACTCCATGTTAAACGAATGGTAACCTTACTCTCTACAGCTCAACCGATAGTCTTTCATCTTACGTTCCATCTTTCTAAACAACTGGGATCACGAACAGAAGCTTTGTGAACTGAGCATGACCTAGTTATGGAAAGATGAGAATGTAGATTGAGGAAAATCAGGAACGGTTGTAGTGTCATATCAACCAGAAGTATTCTCAAACAAATTAAAAACATATCAGAACTAACCGTGAAGCTGTGTTTATGGAGAGACGAGCCTATACACAACATCACCTTTCTAAAACTTATTACGCACTTATTGGTGAGGTAACTACGTTCTACAGCACTAGCAGGTTATAAAGTTATAAGCTAATAAAAAACATAGAAACAAGAAATGAAAAACCAAAAAGTTAGAAAAAAGTCAAAAGCGGGTAGAGAGCGCATACTCTTTGAGAATTAGAAATAGTCTTGGGTTGGAGCTACAAATATGGGAGATATAAACTAGTTCATAAGTGCGTTGGACTGTTCTTGTCAAGGAAACTCCAAAAAAAATTTCCAAAGCAAAAAACTGTCTTCAAAGGAAGATGCGAAATGGAGAAAATCACAGAAACAACTATCAAAACCTCTAGCGGCACTTTCCAGAAATGGATATCAAAGTACAACGAGAAAAGCAACTCAAAATTTCAAAACAATGAGCAACATATAAACAAAGATCTTTGCAATCTTAACCTTTCTCAAAGTCAGGATCACTTTCGCAACATAGAAAAACAATCGAAAAAAACAACGCACACTACCTTTCTCCAACCTTGCACAAGTCAGAATGGTGTGACTTAGACTCCGCCCATAACCAAAATACAAAAATCGAACTATGAACAAATTGACCACACATCGCAATCCAATACACGGTAGAGGCAATTTCTTCGAACAGAATGTAATGAAAAATCTCAAGATGGAATGAAAAAGTGTAGGTACAACGGCTAAGATTCGAAGAAGTTACGAAGAGCAACGGATTAGATTTTAGTCAGAAACGTTCAAGTTCATGGATCACTCCTCAATGAAACACAAACAACCCATACCAGTTCTCCCCAACTATCACAACTCGAAAACAATAGTCAACAGTGTTTACAAATAAATTTATTCACACATATAAACAGCTACATAACAATACAAAAGAGCCAATTTTTGCTCTGTTAAACAATTTAAAACTTTTTCCTCTTCCGAGGCAATATCAATATTTTCTAAATTTTTAACTAAAGTAATGGCGTCTTCCCTCATTTCTTCGAAATCTTGTATTGGGAATTGAGCGCGCCCGTAAGCGAAAGAATGGAGCCTACAATATATTCAAATGATATTTAAGAAAATTAAGAACTTACATTTCGGCACTTCGGAATCCTATCAAGCATTCTATGCTCTTTAACCTGCATGGAATGTCTTCTAATACCAGATAGGAATGTGAGGACTGGAGTAGTAGAGAGAGTCTTCAATAAACTTATTAGAGTCAAATGAATGAATAAACAGTTTTATATTTTCGCTACGGGACCAAATAAATGTAAAACAGCCATGCAGTTTTCAAGGATTCAAAATTTGCAACTGTACTTCTTCAGATAAGTGGTTAGCTCTCAGTAATTTTCCCATTTGTCTCAGATACCTTCTGGTTGTTGTATATCACAATAAACCTGTCTCGGATTGTCTTTATTTTAACATTCACTTCTTTCACTTCCCAATTCACAAAACTTTTAATTCGTGATCCTAGTTCTAAATGATGTTCTGGTAGAAGAAAGATACTAGGACAAGCCGGTATAGCTCATGCCAGATTCACATCTCTAATAATTTATTGTTAAACATTTTGAACTTCAACCTGAAGCTAAGGTTACGGTTATGCTGTACTGCGAGGAACATGAGTTTATGTTATAATACAACAATTCAACTTCGAAAGTATCGTCCGTCGATCTGTCTAGCAGGTACTTTCCTATGATTACTCTTTCATGTACGGTTAAGCTCGAAACGACACTTCAAATTTTTTCATCAATCGTAGACCTCCTCCAGTCCACACTGCTATTCCTCTTCCCCCATTGACACTTGATAATTTGAAGATATGTTTTCCGGTATCTAGGAAGCGATCATTTCAATGATTGAGGGATGTACGACATACCTTGGATTTCCTAAAGCATAACAAATAGGATTCAGGGTAGAGTTAACATAGCAAAGAGCATAGGAAAAAGACCAGAGCCAAGCAGGTGTTGAGTGAGGGTTGAAATGTTCCCAGAGAACAAGAACTACAAAAATAAGAATATTCCAAAAACAAGAAAGTAAGAATGAATTCACTGTCGTAAGGAAGCCAAGTTATGAAGAATGCCAAAGTGATTGCCAGAAGAGTACGAGCGGCTTTGTTCTCAGGACGTCTTGCTTTTCTTTTCTTCTCGACTTCTCCATCGTCCTGATGTGTTGTAACCACATCACTCTGATTGCCTGAAACAATTTGATTACTTTCTCTTATCAGAAAGTAATTACCTGTGCTTTTCACTGATTGGCCTCCAGTGATTTTCTGTACAACAAAGTGTTTGCAGGATTACTGACTCAGCTTACCTTGGACTCTTTGAATGTTGTTCCGAAAACTTTGGTTCTTCGTTTGGCAACAGCATAAACTCTCATGTACAGAAAAGTCATCACCAGAATCGGAATGTAGAAAGCACAACAAGCTGTTATGAAAGTAATGATAGGACTTGTTTCAAGGAATTGAATGTAACAAGATCCATCAGGTTCGGTGAACTTTCCTTAAAAGGGTTGTTTATAATAGCTCTGGCCTCGCATCATTACCGTCAATGTATGGCCATCCAATGATCCAAGGGGGCCATAGCAAAGCAGATATGATGTAGGTAGAGGCTATCATCATTAGAGCTTTGTTCTTGGTTCTCCTTCAAATAAGTTATATGAAAGAAAGTCTACAGGAGTCAAATACTTTGGCCGATACGTCAGTGGTCTTGTTACTGAGAAGTAGCGATCAATTGATATCAACACCAGATTCATCACAGAAGCATTGGACATCAGATAATCCATACAAAGCCAGAATTGACATGCGGTGTAACCAATATTCCAAGAGCCCACGGCAGTGTAATAGGTCATGAAAGGAATTGATATTAACCCTGCAAAAAGTGTTACAAGATAATCATCTATTACATTCTTAGTTTGCTTTTTCAATCAAAGAGGCAATCAAACGAATACTGAAGGCAACCATCTAAGGCTAATTAAAACAATTTTCAAAGAATTCCGGTACATGGAGAGGTAACTCGTGTGGAATCAACAGTATAGTACTAACCGATCGACATATCAGCTACTGCTAGACTGAAGAGGAAATAGTTTGTTACTGACTGAAGATTCCTGTCGATCTTGAAACTTAGCATAACCTATAGGAGAGATAATCTCTAGACAACATGAAACAGATTGACAAACCATGATATTGCCGATGTTTGTCATGGTGGATAGTGTGACGCCAGCAATGATAATGAGATAGAAGGATAATGGGTGACCCTCGGTAACTTCTTCATCCTTAGCTACCGTGATGTTCATGATGGGATCGGCCCAGTTCGAACTGAGATTGGACATCTGCAAAGTTTAATTGAATTACTGAGAAGAATGGAATATTTATATGGAAATGTTTAGGAAAATATGTTTTGTACGAAGCTATTAGGAGAGATTTGAGAAGTGAAGCGTCAGTTGGCCGAACTGACACACACCGTGTACAAATCTGAAAATGAAGTTCATTTTTAAGACTGCGCATCATCTTTGACGAAGATGACGTCGTCGAAAAGATTCTCATCAGACGACATGACGTTGTCATCTGTAGAGTAAAAAAGTAAAATGGAATGACTAGTTCAGAAATAGAGACAGCTGGGACAAAGTGCATAATTAACTAGGAGTTTTGATAACAACCCGTGACCTGATTCGGGCTTCCGAGCTCCATTTTAAAGTGAAAAAACGAAAAATTATTAAACAGCAGAAGGATGAAGGAGTAGTTGATAATCAGAAATCATTAAAAACAACCTATTTTTCTAAACTTGAAAGATATGAAAGAGTGAAGTCGAAGAGAACGAGAGAGACAGAGCTGCGAAAGGAACAAAAACAGTCATCAGAAGTACAACGATGGTCTTTGCTAACTGGGTGAGTGACTTGTCGACAATTTATAACACAGTTTGCGGAAGGAATCAGATGAGATATACATCTGTGAGCTTTTCCTCTACAGATCTCATCCGTGTCATACAAAAAACAACTTTCAGGAAATGTTGCCAACGCTGAGAATATAAATCTGTTGAGATTCAAAGTAGATTCTAGCTTGGCAAACCGGAATGTTCAAACGAATGTAGAAAGAGAGAGATAGAGAGTGAATGGAGATGTATATGGTATTATGGAGACAATGGAATGATATGTTAAGAGTTGAAGAAGTCGAAAACTACTCATATCCGACTGAGACAGCCAATCTCATAAACGAGACAATAACCACACAAATCTCATGTCTTAAACTGAATTATCAATGTTATGTGTAAAAACAACTGTAAACGCGTGTGCAAGAGTCAGTAAAAGCTTAGCTTAATTGCATTTTGTTTTGAATTTCGAAATGAGTTTGTTAAACGTTAATGATTGTTCAAAGAGAGGGAGGTAGAGGTAGAGGTAGAGGTAGAGGTAGAGAGAGAAAGAGAGAGAGAGAAACATAAGGCAATCAACTCATTCCTTGGTTGGACAAAGCAGAAAAGACATTTTGTGACTAAAACCAGAAATGATAGTACAGAACAATTTGATTTGCAACTTGGAGATTTCAGTTGAATAATAGTGACAAAAGGAAAATAACAACTTTCCTTTAACACTGATGATGATCATGATAGAGAGAGAGTGAGTGAGTGGGAATGAGAAAGGATGACGAATGTCTTATTAGTAGTAAAGAGAGCTGAAAACTTACGGGGCAATGGCCATCCAGGAAAGTGGGACAAGCTCCAATCGGCATGATCCAAGCAGTATGTGTTGATAACAATAGCTGCTACTGAAATGAATCATCATCATCTCAATATGGATATGGAGCTTATGTGAAAAGCTTTACAACAACACAACATATAGCAGTAACAGCTCGTGACATAAAAAAGAAATATTATTTCTTCGAAAAGTGAATAACCTGATGTGTGAGTGTTGCGTTTTGTTTGAAAAAGACTCATCATGAACTACACAAGTTTAGAGTTTTAGAGTTGAAAACAAGTAACCAGTTAGATTACCTGGAATTCCAAGATTTTTAAAAAAAAATTAAAAAGAGACTCACTGAGGTCATGATGACTAACTGTTATCCAGATCTTTGGTAATTGCATTCTATCGTCCAAGAGTTTAATCTTGTCATTGACGTGCAACGACAGAAGCACGTCATGAATGTGCATGACGTCTTCGAATCATTGAATTAAGCTTCAAAATGCAAAAGAACGCTTGTATTCCCTTTCTAATTCAATAATTGATAACCAGATTGGAAGTATTGTAAGAACCTAACTGTTTGTTGGCCCATTCTTCTA